CAAAGTTGCTCCAATCGCAACACTTCTAGTTTATCGACTCTCGTCAATAGAGCGATAAGTCCTCAAAGTTGCTCCAATCGCAACACTTCTAACTTGTCGCAACACTTCTACCTTATCGACTCTCGTCAATAGAGCGATAAGTCCTCAAAGTTGCCCTGAACGCAACACTTCTACCTTATCGACTCTCGTCAATAGAGCGATAAGTCCTCAAAGTTGCCCTGAACGCAACATTTCTACCTTATCGACTCTCGTCAATAGAGCGATAAAACCACAAAGTGCGAATAAATAGTTGTTGTCGCAATATTAAATTGGTATTTCATTGTTCCATGTCAAAACATGATATGAAAAAAGAAACAATAAAAAGCCAAACGGCAACACTACCTTTATTTAAAGGAAAACAAGGTGACCTAAGATAAGTGTTGTTCCTACCAAAAGAACGATACGAAAACAGGCTCATCAATTCATCAGATCAAATGAAGTTAGCTGAGACTTAATGTCAGAAAGTTTTTCTTCATGGTCGGCCCGAACCAGCATCTCGGCTCGTCTCCGAAGCTCGTCCTCACTAGACAGCATGGCAGATAGCTCCTTCTTAGCCTCTTCCAGAGCACCAGCCTTGGCACGGTAATTCACCAGGGAAGCAGTACTTTTGACGTTGAGCTCAGTGACAATAGATTCTTCTCGTTTGAATTGAGCCTTCATCCTAGTCAACTCCACTTCAGCGGCAGCGATCTTCTCTCGCAAATTCTCCAGAGAAGTATTCGAAAGTGTCAGCTCAACTTGTTTTTGAGCATGTAGCTGTTGCAGTTGTTCAACCTCAACCTCTTCCTCAGCTATATGACGTTGAGCGGCTTCATACTTATTGAGTTCTTCGGCTCGAATCTTCTCAAAAGTAGATGCAATTTGCGCTTGGATATCAGCGCGACCCAAAGCCTCCAAGAATCTGAGTTGTCCCTCTAGACGTGAGATAGCTTCAGAGCAGCGCTGAACGACGTCGACGTCACCTACAAGCTTGAGGTTGTTCAAACTATTCGTGAGCATGGGTTTGAAGGTATCAAAAGTATCTCGTCCGGCTAGCACAACCTCAATTATTTTCTTGGTAAGCCCTCTCAAGTAGTCAAGGGAAATCTTGACAAAATCTGGTACGTCTGCGGGGCTCGAAACAGCAATAGGCGACGGTACAGAAACTTCTGAAGATGCTAAGCCAAGTAAAAGACCAGCAGGCGATTTCGGTGTAGTGGCTTGTGAAGGAGTGCCGATATCCAGCTGAGATGGACTCGATTGCAAAGCCATCAGTTCCCCCATTTGAGATGACCTTGGAACGTCTACCACTTCGGTAGAGGCTAGAGAAATGGTCAATAAAGTCGTCGGTGGAAGAGCCGTGGTGGAGGTCTCCAAACGAGGTGGCTCTGACACCTGAGCTGGGGGTGGTATAAGTTGTTGCGTCGAAGGAGGGGTAACAGTACTCGCTTCATGTATCATAGGATCTGTATGAGAAATTTATTTAAATACAGAGAGAAGATTAGTGGAGCTGAAACAAACGGCACTTACCAGCGAGAGGTAGGGGAATGTAGGCTGACGCTTTGTCGGAAAAGGATGATGGTGGGATATACCAGTCTTCTGGATCATCGCTGTCATCACCCAAGTTGTCATCATTTTCATCACCTCCACCTTGGTCTCCATCATCATTCATATCATCATCACCCCCACCTTGGTCACCCTCATCATTCATATCATCATCGCCGTCGCTATGATCCATGGGCTCATCCTCGCCTACGGAAGAAAATGCTGATGCATCTTCGGTGATTGTAGGCTTTGCTATGATCCCAGTGGTAGGGCTAAGCTGTGAATCGCCTACAATTGGCAATAACACAGAGGTGGAAGGAGACTTGTCTGTTGCTGGGTCTTGCTGGGCAGTCACAATAGGTTCGGGGACAGGAGGTATATCTTCTACCACGTGAGAAGTAGTGGAGGCAGTATCATGAAGCGTGCCTTCGGGGACAAACTCCGCACCCCCTGCAAAAGATTCATCTCCATGTTCTTCTTCATGCAATGAACGAGCAGAAGGATCATGGCCTCCTAAAGCAGGACTACCTGTGGGGAGAGTAGGCTGAGGCGAGAGTTCCAGAGCAGTCGATTCTTGTTCTTCTTCTTCAGAACGCCATGTTTTCTGAGCGTCCGACATAAGTTTGGAAGCAGGGGGTTCAAGCGTTAACTTCCGACGAGCTCTTTTGTCATACTTGGCTTCTTCGACCGCCCCCAGCGCCCTTTTTCCCGTGGCACTCTGACTCCGGGTCAGAACTCTTGAAGGTTGTACCTTGTGGGTATCCGGTATCCTGATCTCTTCCTGAGCTCGCTCTGGTGACTGTTGCCGTTCACCCTCCGTAATCGACTTTTCATATGACAAATATTCATTGGCACCCCGGGCACGGAACCGCTTAGCACTCTTCTTTGAAGCATACCATTTGCGGATGTCTCTTAAGCAGGAGGTATTCATGTGGTAAGCTGAAATCTGAAGCATTGGGCATCTTGTGAGGAAGTCGGAATTTCGCTCCAGTGCAACCAGCCACTGAGTAAAACCAAGCTCTCGCTCCTTCATACACATTACCTATGAATGCAAGAGTAGGGTTTGGGTTCCCAACATAGAGCTGATCATAGCCAAATTGCCGAGAAAAACGATAAGGCTGATATGGTTCAATAAAGCATTTTCTCCCTTGTCGAAAAATAAGATAGCCCGGACGAATGTTTATGAGCCACCAAAAAGCGCCCTTGCTAAGCATGGTGAAAGAATTCGGCCCCGGAGAGTCTTGATGAAGTTCTCCATACGCGCCACCCTCGAAGGCGGGAAACTTGACAGCAATCTTGTAATTATAATCCCGTCTCAAAATTTCACGGAATTTAACTTGGTACCAACCAGCCCAGTCAGAAGTTTCTAATTGCTGAACAAGAGGGGTTGAGGTGTCATTTGATTCAGGAGTCGTCATTATTGGAGGGCAGTGCAGCACAAACCAAGATACCAAGTAAATATACGGCATCGGCACCCGAGGGGTTGGGGTTTGAATGACGGTCGTCCCGTCAGAATCCACTTTCTTGACGGCAATGAACTCAGAAGATAGTTCCCGCAAGCCACTTTGTAAACAGCACACCATGGCTGAAAGAAGGTTCAAAGGTCGTCCATAAGCCAGTAGAACAGCAGGGTATAAAACTTCTACTGTAATAGCATCCACTGGCCTTGTGGGGACCACACAACGCTTCAACCAAAGAGTTAGAAAACCAGCAAACAAAGCCATGTCGGAGATTGGAACTTCTGCCTGATAGTGGAAACTTTCAAACGTGGTAAACGCCGGGAAGACATCCTCCTCAACCTCGCAAGTATAATGAGAAGTTGCGTCATTGATACGTTCGGTGATTTCCTCAAGGGTACTGGCCGCTAAGCGAGTCACCTCAGCTTCTTTGTCCCACAGATTGTGGAAAAGATATTCCGCCCATTGTCCTTGTTTCACGCCGCTTGCTCTTTTCCCAGTAATTTGCGCACATATCTGGAAATGGCACATCAATTCCCAGTAAGTGTCGTAGATTTCGGGAGCACCATTTTTCAGGATCTCTAATTCCCTGCTTCCGGGAACAAACTCCTCATAAGGCAATTCCCCAAAAGACAGTCCAGAAATCTCAAACATTTCGTGGAGAGCGAAGCCCAGCTCACCAACTGGAGTGAAAAAGGTGCCGGTGTGAGGGTTGTAGAATTCCAGCATAGCGAAGAGTCCGCTGTAATTCGGAGGAATACCGTATCGAGTGGCTGTTATAGGAACTCTCAAATCCGAAATTCTCAAGGGTTCTTCTAGTTCCTCCAAGACGAAATTTATCATCCGGGCCCACCAGTCCGCATCACTGGAGTGAACCCAAGTAGGGGCCCTGAAATCCCGAGCAGGGAACTCTCCTTTGACAGAAATAAATGTTCTGATAAACACCTCCGCTAACTTAGCAGACTCTCCGACAGGGTGCTCTTTTTGGAATAAACCTGGCTTCAAAGCCATGAAATTATTGAAACCAGCGGGATGAGTACCCCGATGAGTGATGTGCCCCGTAGCAACACCGCCTTGGTCTTGAACAAGTTCCCAATTCATCGACCGCGGGATAGAAGCGCACTGATAATAAGAAATCGGCCACATCCGCTCCAAATTGGGAAGGAAAAGACGACGGTTGTTGACTACCTTCAGCCATTTGTAATTCCCCTCGGACATCCGCTTGGGGTCCATTTTTACAGAATCCCCGAATAGGAAGGACGGCTTCTTTAAAATCTCACGCTCTGCGGTTTCGAATTTGGCATTTGTAACCAAAGACCTGAGAGTCTCAGGAAAGGCTTGAGTGATGAGCTTCGACCGTTCTTTGTGGGTGTTCTGAAACACTGGATATTCAAAGGCGAAGCTGAAGATTGTATTCTTCTCCGCACCTCCCGCATGACCGAAGTAGTGGTTGAAAGAAAGAGGCTCTTTGGAGTAGCATACTGCAAATAGAAAAATTAGTCATAAGAAGTCTAACTCAAGAATACAAGGTTCAAACCTGCGTTCGGGGTCTTGAACGCAGGGTCTCAACCTGCATCCGAAATTCTAAACGCAAGGTTCAGACCTGCGTTCGGGGTCTTGAACGCAGGGTCTCAACCTGCATCCAAAATTCTAAACACAAGGTTCAGACCTGCGTCCAAAATTTTTTAAACGCAGGGTCTGAACCTACGTTGAAATTTCAGGAACGATGGAGCTAGCCATACGTTTAATTGGTAAACACTGAGAATTATCTTTTGAGTTTAAAGATGGAATACGGATCGCCAATCAAGGGTCGAAAATGAGAGATCTGTCAAATCGACTTCCAATGGGTCAATCTTACCATTGGTTGAAGGAACTAGCGACGAAGGCGTGAGAACTTGATCATCCCCGGAGGCTCTAGCCGAAGAAGCACCCTGAGCTTCGGCGATCTTCGATTTGGACGCCATTTTCTTCTTAGGCCCCATGGCAATTGTGGCGAAGAAGACGAAGATGGGCGAAGTATTTAGGAACGGATCTTTTCCTCCGTTGAAGCGCTGGAGAAGATGAACAGGAGTTCTGTTAAGAAACTGAGTAAAAAAGGAGAAAAGTCGAATGACCTTTTGATTTGACCTCAGTGGTCTATTTATAAACAGCTGTAGCTGTCAAATCGAAACGAGATTTTAGGTAAAATCTCACCTGAAACGTGATTCTCGCGTTTTCAAATGAAGGGGAGGAGGGGTTTTTCAACTACCAAACGCACCCTCACGGTCAAACAGTCGAACGCATGATTTAGACATGCGTTCTGATGACTGCACTCACATAAATAACACCTTCAAAGGGGTTAATATTCCAAGCAATAATCAGACTGCTGAGATCATTCTACCCTAGACAAGCTGATCGAGAAGAGTCTTTCGAAGCTGTCCTCCTGACTAAGCTGGGGATGAAAGTCTGTTCATACAAGCTGAAGTCTAAAGCCATTGTTGATGAATCAAACAAGAAGGAGGATGTCGACAAAATTTGCCTAAAACCCTGAGATGCTCTACTCAGTCTACGATGGAATACATTTAATCAGCAAAGTTTTGGGATCCAAAGTATTCCGAAAATTCGTCCCAGTCAACCGCGAACTTTCGAAAACTTTGGAGGGGGTTCTGTAGGCTGTCTAAAAATCACAATGGATAGCTGAGTCTCCATCGAACACTGATGATGGAAGTTACAATCTGACGACTTCCAGAAGGCTACAATTCGAAGATTTTCACATGTCAAAGAGTTAAAGCAAAGATTACAAAACGACAGTCTTTAGCAATACTCTGACAGAAAGGATTACAAATCGACGATCTCTTCAAACCAAGACGTGGAAGTCCTCCCCGCGTACCATCATCAAGACACTACACCGATTCAATCACCTACGCCGCTTCAACAGCTATAAACACGAATGCAGCTTCTTATGTGAGATGATTGATCTTGATGGCTGCGACAACAACATGACTAATATTATATTAGCAACCATTAGAGGTGCTGATGAGCAGTGTAATGATATTCGACACACTCAGTGGAGATCATGACCTGCAGTTGATAGAGCGTTATTGAGATGCCTCAATTGTCACAAATGGCCTGAATAAGACCTTCTTTACTGGTCTTTGGTGTCATCCATATATAAAGATAGAGAAATCTAAATACTACACCAATCAACAGCTCGAACGCAGCTCCAATCGCTGCCAAGCACAGCTCGAACGCAGCTCCAATCGCTGCCAAGAACAGCTCGAACGCAGCTCCAATCGCTGCCAAGAACAGCTCGAACGCAGCTTATCAACCATCGCTGCCAACCGCTGCCGACGCAACTCATCCATCAGTTGCCAACGCAGCTCATCCATCACTGCCAAACGCAGCTCAATCACCGCCAGAACGCAGGTCAAGGTTCTGACTCATTCAAACGCGATCGTAACAACTTCGAAGCTGTTCTTCACCCACGATTTGAGGAGTGGCTTTAGTGGGTTGTTACACCCGACTAATGGGGTAACTAAACCCCTACTTAGGTGCGGATTATGGGGGCAGTTACACCCCTATCCCCCTATAAATATCAACAAACTTAACAGAGTTGGGGGATCTTTTTTTGGATTGCTGAGATCGGATTTTTTGATAATCAGATCAAAGGGGGGATTTTCGTGGAGAAGACCTTTCGATCAGATCTTCCAGAATCAGAAAAAGGAGGATTGACTCCTTACACAGTCTGGGAAATCAACAGACGGAGGAACTCTAAGCAGTCGGCATTTGGCTTATTAACCGAATTATTTTCGGTTCCAACAACTCTATCATTAGAGTTTGTTACTTGTTCTGAATCACAAAACTCGTCAAGAGTTATCAACCAGACAAGACAGTTGTTCCAGTGAGTATAGACGGTCGGATCGTCAACGGAGAGCAAGTTCGACACAATCAATCGAAGGAGGCACTCCACCGCTACCAAGAAGAACCCAGTTTTAAACAAAGGGGAGAATCAAATTCATTCTCCTCTCTTTTGTAATCGGAATTCAATTGTAACTGAGATTAAAGGAATACAAATCAATTTTTCTTTTATTTCTTTTATTGCAACTTTTTCCACAAACAACGAGCACAAAGACAAGAATTTGAGGTGGATCGGCAATTTCCTAAATCCCGTTGGGAGAGATTTGATTCTTCTTTATATCGTATATTGCAAGACACAATCTATTCATGTGCAACCCTAGGCTTCTCTTTTTTTTATTTCTCGTTACTTCTCTTACAATATGCATCTCTGTTCTCATGCAGCCCTAGGCTTGGAAGAGTCTACTTGTAGCCTCCAGAATCGGATCTCTCACAACCCCATATTTCTCTCTATTTCCTCTACCTCTCTTATAATATGCATCTCTGTTCTCATCGAACCTTAGACTACGAAGAGAGTCTATTTATAGCCTCCAAAATCAGATATATAACCCCATAGTGGTCCTAACCCGAATAGATTATATCGGACCAAGATAGGGTTGCACCAAAAATAATTTGATCATGTTTCAGTTTTTACCAAACATTATTTTAGCTAGTTATTGGTTCAATTTTTTAAAAAAAAAAGGGAAAAGGAAAAGCGTTAAGAATTTTTTTTCTCTGGTAAAACATTTCATGATATTTTGTGCAAAACCCCAAATAGTATTATGTTACCTATTACCCTAATATAAAATGTAATACTAAAAAGAAATACCCATTAAAGAGTTATAAAATGCTATCAAATCCCAGCCAATCTATTTCTTAACGCATCCATTAACGGGTCGGATCGGGTCGGGTCGGGGTGTGCCCTCTCACCGTGTTCTTATGTAGGAAGACCTAAACACGGTGAGCGAGTACATCGACGAAAACCCCCCCCCCAAAAAAAAAACGCTCCCGCCATTGGCCATGGGCGGAAGCGCTGCAGGGGCGCGGAGGGAAGTCGCGGCGCGATGGTTCAGCAGCGGCCCCGACAATGGATGGGCCTTTACAAGTCCCCGGTCCAATGATAGAAAGACCCATCAGAGGAGATCATGCTCTTATGGGCCCTCCAACAGCCCACAGTCCACAAGCAGAACTCTCTCGTCCTCCAAAACTCCCAGACCCTCCCCTTCGACGCCTGCGGCCACCACCTCACGATCCTCCAATCCCCCTCCTCAATGGTACCCAACCCACCCATTTGTGTTCAGCTTTATAATCTTTAAGTTCCCTATTTCTAATTAATTTTGTCTTACTAAAACTTTTGCAGTCGCAAAATATTTAATCGAACATGTGAATTTGAAATTTATATCTGGACCTTAAATGCGCATGGCAATGATAATTCGGCGCAAGTGACGTGCATTCGATTGTTTTTTTAAGATGTTTATCAAAAAATATGTATAAGGTAATTATCAAAAATATATATATATATATAAGACTGCCATTGTAATGGTTTGGAAGAATTTTAGTTAAACACTCTCATACCGCATAGCAATAGCTACAAATTGTGATTTAGGCTTCTAATTACACCTCACTTTCTACGTGTGTTCTTTAGAATATTAACTTAAGTTAGGGAGAACTTGACACTGACTCGGTATTTTAAATCGGAAAGAAAATTGGCTCAGAAACCTAATAGATGAATGTAGACATAAAAACGTGAATGCCTTGTAGGTACTTGAAACTGAACCTTAACTTCTTTTCCGAAATAAAACTCTGTAAAGATGTCTAAAAGTTTCAGACCAACACCTGTTAATAGGTAAACGACGAAATACAAATTGACTCCTCTCGAAATAGTTTATGCAACTTTTCCTTCTATCTCGTAAAAACAAAAAAGGGCTTAGTCCGTTACTATACTTTACTTCCAAAATAATGATAATATTATTATAAATGATAAAGTATTCCAAAATATGATTATCACGAGTATTATATATTAAAATAATACTTCACAATGTAGCTCAGGATGTATAATATATAACATGTCGGGATTGATGTATAATATATAATGTATAATTTATAATATGTATAATATATAATATAATTATCCTAAGTATTATACATAATTAATATTTGTTGAATTGTAATTATTGTTACATACCCAGTAGTTTTAAACATAAACATCAATACTTGTGGGAGTTGGGGGGTAGGATGGAATTTGCCTTTGTAAAACGATGCGGTGTATATCCAGTATGAAAAAAAGAATACAACTTTCTCCAGAGAGAGAGAGAAACTGAAACAAAAATTTATCCAGAATATGTATTGATCCCACACAGTGGCATGTAAAAGAGAGAGAATGATCTCTATATCCAAAATTTCAATGTTCGTCATAGTATCTATAATAAAAATGTTGCTTAAAACTACTTGCTGCCAGCATACTATTGAGGCCTCTGTTTTGTGGAGGGTAAAAAAATGCTGATGAAATAAAATCTAATATGAGGCACCTCGTCAACATCCTAATAAACAAATCCTTCATTGTATCAAAGCCAACAAAAGAGATGCATCCTCCTCTGACAACTCCAACAAAAAGAACTAAAAATAAAGAAACTCAAAATTCAATATTTTCGTAGCATCTGAACTCAATCAAAACCATTATCCATTGTATATTAGATACAGAAGCGGTGCGCCGAATATCGAGGGGTGATCCTGCATGTTGAAAATATGAAAATGGAGCATCATCATACCATTGCTAGCCATATATTTAGTAGATGATGTTTATTTTGGGGTGCTCTTATAGAGAGAATACACTGAATGTATGGGTTTCGAGGATGAAGGGTAGGCTTGATTGTTTTTTTTTATGTTGATAGATTTGCTATCGGTGTATTGTAAGTTGAAGATGATGAGGTTGTATAGAGAAGAGAAGAGTGGTGGGATTAAGTAATCTGAACAGGTGGAGGTTTAAAGTGTTTAATAGGTGTTATTGCTAATGGGGATTATAGAAAATTTAATTCATTGAATTAATTGGGGGGTTATATGATAGGAATTTAAAATGGATCTTAATGCTTATAGTAGAATTTTTTTCATTTTTCTTATATTTTCATTTCTATTAAATTTTAGTTAGAACTTTTATAAAATTTTAATGACATTATTGAGTGAATCAGGACTATTTTAGTTAGGAATGTTCTAACATCCCGATCCACTTTTGTAACAGTATAAGATATAAAATAAGATATATGAGATATAGATATAGTTATCGTATAGATTTGTCTAGCTACAGTAAATAATAGTTACACTATACTATATTAAAATTGGCTTTAGATATATTATACTATATTTTACTAGAAGTAATATAGTTTTAAAAGTGTTACATAATTGATATGAAAAGAATTTCTAATAATAGTGGATGGAATTTAGATGTGTACTTGCTACATTTAATTTAAGTGGGGGTTGCGAAAAAAATTTAATGGGGTATAATTTTAAAATCTATGTATGTGTTTCATGTGTTTATGTATGTGTTTTATGTATGTATGCATGTGTTGTAACATAAATTAGAGGTTATTTTCGGCAAGAAATGTTTTAACATCCAACACATTTTTATAATAGT